ATGTGCATATGCATGCATGTATATACGCATGTGTATCAATGCTTCTGTGTATGTATATACACGTGCATGTCAATATATGACTGTTTGTATGTGCATGCATGTATGTGCCCTTGCATGTGTGTGGAGATGTGTACATACATACATACATACATACATACATACATACATACATACATACATACACCTGGAAAGTTTTATCAGCTTCTAGGACTTTATTTACTAGAAACAGATTATTTTCAAAAGGCCAGGACTGTGCTATACTTTTGTGCTTTATTGGTGATTAAACAGCATAAAATATTTCTCATCAATCTTGAGGTGACTAATTTAACTGTCAGATACACAAGACTAGATGTCAAAAACATGTGTTAAAAGGCCCTAATATGCCATGTTCAACTTGATTAACAGCAAACTCGCAGAAATCCCAACAGTGTGCTCTTGTTTTCAGCTTATTTGCATTGGCAAGGGCCTCTCTGCCCGAATCTGGCTCCTCATGGGTCTAATCTCTGAGCACTTTATCTTGGGTGCAAGAGCCCCAGGCGGTTAGCTACAGGGCCCCCATCAGCCTTCCTCAGCCCCATCTGATAACAGATGGCAGCCACAGCAAATACCCAGTGAGACCAGCTTTAAATAATGCCTCCTGAAAACTGTTACTGCTACTTCTAGGTTAGCATGAGAACTCGTGAGGAGGAGGAGAAGGAAGAAGAGGAGAAGGTGAAGGAGGAAGAGGAAGAGGAGGAAAAGAACAATGACGATGATGATGATGATGATGATGATGATGATGATGATGATGAAGATGAATAGCTAACATTTCTATAGCACTTCAAAGTTCACGAGGAACTTTACACACATTATCTCATTTATCCTCACCACAATTCTTTGAGGCAGGCATAATTATTATCCCTATTTTACATATGAGAACACTGAGGCTGAGAAAGGTATGGTGACTTGCCCAGGGTCACACGGCTGGATTGATTGTACATACCTGAGATAGGATTTGAAGCCAGGTCTTCTCGACATTGTCTAACATCAAACCACATAGCTACTCCCAACGAGTAAGAAGCCCTTGCTACTACTCACCAGCATGGCCCAACCATGACCCGTGGCAGGTTCACCTGAGCCAGGGGTACTCCATAGCAGCCAATGAATTTCTTGGCTACCTTGAAAGAGGTCCAGAAAGAAGGGATAGTTGCAGTATACCCTGCTTTGGCCAGACTAAGTGCCTGGCACACAGTAGGCACTTCTAATAAATGTTTATTGATTGATTGACTACATCTACAGTAAATACATTGGAACATGCCCAGCCAAAGGTGACCAGGATGATGAAAGAAGCAGGTAACGTGCCACATGAGAGTTAGCTTTCAAAGACTTAAATGGGCATCATTTAGATGACTGATTCAATTTAATAGGCTTTGACCCAGAATTAAACTATTAATCAATCAGCAAGCGTTTATTAAGCACCTACCGTGTGCCAGGCATGGTCCTCAGTACTGGGGACAGGAAGATATAAATGAAAGTCTCTCTCTGCCCGCACAGAGAGGCATCGGGTAGAATCTGCGGAGGCAGAAACGTGGCCCCACAAAGACCTCAGGGTGGAACGGTCAGCCTCAGGAGGGAGGGGCTCACCATCCCCGGGGGACCCCTTGTGGGGGATGCTGGAGAAGGGCAGACTCGAGGGCTTCTGAGCTCCCTGCTAAGCCCAGAATTTCTGCCAGTGGGACTCCCTGTCTCTCTGCACATGGGTTCCACCCTGGCCACACGAGAGAAAGGAGGCCACATCTGCCGTCTGTGAAGACAGAGAAGAGGAGGAAGATGGGGACTGAGGGGCCATCACTGCAGAACAGGAGAGGACGCACAGGACCAGGGGACCAGAGGCCCGACTCTGGAATCACACGATCAAGTCACTTCCCAGCCTGGAGACTCAGGGGTGGCACAGATAAAGGGAGATGCTCAGACCAGATGCTCTCTCAGCTTCTTCCCAGCCTCAAAGCGATTTTCCCAGGGGCAGTGTAAGCTTTGTGGGCAGGTAGTATTTTGCTTATGCCTTGGTAGCCCCAGGGCTTACTATAGCACCTGGCATACATCAGGCACTTAATAGATGCTCAGTGGCCTACTGATTAGGGAATTCTATTGCCTCCGCCATCTCTCCTCGGCATTTCCTTCCACAAAACAAGCAGAATGCTGCTTTGCCAGGACACAGCCTGAAACCCAGCCTGGGTCAGCTCTCGTGTCTACACTTTGCTTTTCAGTTTTTCTTAAATGCTTGACCCTGAACTCGACCCCAATCTATCAATCATGAATTTGGAAGTATGGGCAATGTGAGATCAGGGGAGCTCAATCACTTGTTTAGAGAAAGGAATTTTAAAAATGGGAGGAGGTGAGCGTCAAATAAGGCACATTCTAACAGGAGGAGGAAATAATACTAGTTAACACTGATAGGGTGCTTACTGTGTGTGAGGCTCTGTGCTGAGAGCTTTAAAATATTATCTCATTGTATCCTCACCATGCTGGGAGGTGGATACTATTAGCATCCCCATTTTATAGATGAGGAAACTGAGGCCAACAGAGGTTAAATGATTTGCCCAGGGTCACCCAGCTAGTAAGTGGCTTGGCCATCCCCCCTGCCTCCGAACTTCCCAAGAAGAAAGGAAATGAAGTAGGCAGCCATCAGCTCTGTCGCCTAGGAACACACTGGGACATTACTGCACCCTAAGAAACAGTGATGAAAATGAATTCAGAGAAACCTGGGGAAGAGTATATGGAGTCACATGGAGGCAAACGCAAAGATCCAGGACAGCTACAGACACACGGACTGCAAAAACACAGCAAAGGTCACACTCACAGAAAACTGAACTCAGACTAATGATCCATTGGGGTTCCAGAGAAGACATGAGACAGAGCTGGATAGGAAGGTAGAAAAATAAAGGGAGACTTCCCACTTGTAGGATGCTTTCAGATTCACACAATGCCTTCTGTATATTCTCTACATAAAAATCTGCACAGTGGAAAAACTGCCCTTTCTAAAGTCAGAGGCCCTGGGTTCAAATCCCAGCTCTTCCTATTTAGGTGACTCTTGACAAGTCAACTTTGGCCTCAGTTTCCTCATTGACAAAATGAAGGGGTTGGATTGGAAGGGCTCTGAAGGCCCTTCTTGCTCTCTACATACAATCCTATGATCTTTTGTGGTGTAGGAACATTATTATTCCTACTTTACAGACAATGAAACCAAAGTTCAGAAAGGTCTAGTGATTTTCCCAGAGTCACACAGCTAGTAAGGGTGAGAAGTGGGATTTGGACCCAGGTCTTCCTAATTCCAAGCCCTGCAACTCTAACTCCTGGGTCTCTCTCAGGATGAAACCCTCTGCCTTCACCCCAGCAGAGGGACAGGACAGAAGGTGCCAGACACCATCCAAAGCAGCTGCCCACCATTGCCTGGCTTGGCTTAACTTTTTTCTGCATTACAAGAGGCTTGAATGGAGGGAGCTGGTATCTGGGTGAATGACTGTGATGTTGAAAAAAAGGCGGCCGATCAAACATTGCAGAAACACTTAAGGATCCCATTTAACTAAGCATGCAAGGAAACATTCCGAGGTCCGTCCACACATGTGCTTCAAGGGATTGGAAGAAAGAGCACAGAGGGGTGACCCTCGACTTCTGTCACACCACTTCAAAATTAAATACCAAATGAGCAGAGAAGTAATGATTTAATCATGTGTCTTGGAAAGCCCAATTTTAAAATAAAATGACTTGACATCTTCTTGAAATAAACCTGTCAACACAGAAAAACTATTTGCCTTGCCTTGAAAAGTCATTTTGATTATTTTACAAAGTCACAAGTTACATACTATACCGCACACAGTTGGATTGCTTTAGAACAAGTTGGGAACTTTAGAACCCCTTTCACCTTACAGATGAGGAAACTGAGGTCCAGAAAAGAGAAATGTCTTTTTCCAGGTCATACAGCGGGCCAATGGCATAGCTATGCCACAGCTAGAACACATCCCAGGGCTCCTTCTCCTACACTGCTGCCCCTTGCCAATTATCGCTCATTGACCATTGTTGAATATGGCCGATGGCAACATTGTTTTGGCTCTGAGGCTAGAAAGTAGGACCAAAAGATGGAGAGAAAATCTGAATGTTCTCCTTGGCCTCAACCTACCTTTCCAGGCTCTTTCTAACATCCCTTTGTACACCTTACCTCTGCCTCAGAAACCTTCTCTTCCTTACAGACTTGGCTCACGCCTCTCCTTCGATGGAAAGCCCTTCCTGATCATCTCTCCCCCCAAGTGCCAGTGACCACCATTCTTCCCAAACTACCATGTATTCATTTTACATTTATGCTTTGCCTACTTACACACACACACAGCCTCCCCTAAGAGAATGCAGCCTCCCTGAGGGCAGGGGCTGTTTCCATTTTTGTCCTTGTATCCCCAGCACCTAACACCCTGCCTAAGACTCAGTAAATACTTAACAAATGTTTCTTGACTGTAGTTAATTCTACTAAAATATCTTAGACTAAATTGGAGCAAAGCCTCCTGAGGAGTACAGCTTTTTGGTTTTCTTCTAAAAGGAGGTGCTAAATGTGCCTTTTATTTCAAGTTAGGCCTGAAAACGCACATATGTTAATGAAGTAGCTTTGAAAAGTATGGTGCCAAATCCCTCATCTACCAGGAAGGAATCTTCTGCCTCTGGATCAGAGTCATACTTGGTACCTGCCTGGCACTATTTTCTCTCTTGAATTCCCATTAAGAATGTGCCTGTCTTTTCTCTCTACCAGCCTGTCAGGCCCTTGCAGGCAGGGGTTTCTGCAGCAAGCCAAGATCCTGCCCCACCCCCACCCCCACCCCCCAGGAGAATGGAGGCTCTCTGAGGACAGGCATTCTTTCGTTTCATTTTTCCCTAATTTAGTGAGTGGAGCAGGGGTTGGTAGTTACACCAGGGAATGACGAGCCACAGAAATGATTCTCCAAGCCCTGTAAAGTGAGGGGCCAGAGGAAGGTCACCTTTTCAGACAAAGCCTCTTCTAAGGTTGCCAGGGCTGTGTCGGTGTTACTGGAATCCGTCTGCAGAGACTTCACCCGATCCTTCAGGTTGCTCAGCTGTTTGTCCTTGTCTCTGACTTGTTCTTGCAAGTTTTCTATCTATAAAGACACAAAAAGCAGAGGAATCAATCTACGTTGGAAGCTAGTACTGGGTTCCTGCTTTGGGATGGTCTCACATCAAAACTGGCCACTAAGGCATGAGGAGGGACGCCGGAAAGGGACTATGGCTGGGATTTTAGTCCTCGTCCAATAGGAAACACCCAGATGGACCAGCATGGAGAACTCAGAGGGGTCTTGGAGGCCATCTAGGCCAACGTCTTAAGAGGGAAAGTCACTTGCCCAAGTGGACAAGGGGGTAATTGACAGAGTTAGGATTGGAGCCCAGGTTTTCTGACTCTGAATCAAGCGCTCTTTCAAATGATAGTAAATCATGTAAAAAACATTTGGGAAGCATCAAGTCTTGGCACTGGGGGTAGGGTGTAAGACACACGAAGAGTCCAGCCCTGTAATTTCATCAGTGTCGATGGGTACAGAAAAGGAAATGCCATGTCCCAAATCAAACCAGAAACTGTTCTTTCAATGGGGTATTAGAGATGTGTCCCCAGACAATTCTTGAAAGTATCCAGTTCCTTGGGGAATTAATTACTTCCACTTTGAACCTGCTGCTCAGGGAACTCTGCCTTGACTGGTGACTGACTGAGCCTATTCTCAATGAGCTCACTCAATCTAGCCAGCCCCAGACCACCAGAGCAGTCCATTGCTCACATTCCACCCAGCTATCTACTCAGCCACCTTTGCCATCTGCCTCCTGCCTGACTTCAACCTCCCCATATCTCGTTTGGGGTTTAGAAACCAAGCTAAGATTAGCATTGTTCCTGGAAAGGGTATGTCAGGTATGATCATCTCACCAAGCCTCACCAAGGGACTCCCTTTGTTGGACACCACTTCCAAAGACATGTTGTCTCCCCCACCCCTGTAATATAATGCTAGCTCCAAGAGGGTGGGCACTGTTACCCCCAGCACTTGGTACAATGCCTGGCACACAGAGAGCAATTAACCACTTTTCATTCAGTCATTAATTCATTAATATGAACACCGGCATGATTACAAATGAAGAAATTGAAGCCTAGAGGGGTCAAAGGAATTTTCCAATGTTACACAGCTGCCCACAGCGGCAGGTTTCCTGTTCTCCATCACAATATGGTGACGAAATCTCAAACAAACAACAAACCGCTGTCTTGGCGGTACAGACGGGACATCTGTCCTAATAATGCTCCTAGACCCCGGTTACAGTAACACTTTCTGTCTAGGAACGGGACTCAGTCTGTCTCCCTAAAGCACCACCCCTCTCCGATCCAGCCCCAAGTATTGCTGCAAGCTCCTCAAAGGTAGGAATCGTTTCATTCTTTGCATCTGTATCCCCAGCACAATAAACTCCAGGGACTCCCCATCCTTTCCAGGATCAAATATCAAATCCTCTGTTTGGCACTGAAAGCCCTGCACAACTTGTCTGCCTCCTCCTTCCCAGTGTCCTCACACTTTGCGCTATCCTGTTCGCCGTGATCCTATGATGCTGCCTTCCCCGTGGCTGGACACACGAGACTCTGGCTTTGCCCCATGCCAGTAGTCCTCTCCTTCCTCACGTCCATCTCACAGCTTTCCTGGCTTCCTTCACGTCCCAGCCAAAACTCCACTGTCTTCAGGAAGCCTTTCTCAGCCTCCTCATTCTATTGATCATTTCCAGTTTATCCTGTCTGCATCTTCTTTGTCCATGCTTGTTTGCATGTCACATCTCCCCTTAAGTGGCCTCCCGTGCCTAGAATACCCACCCCTCACTTCAGTCTCAGGGGTTCCCCCAGCTCCCTCCAAAGCCCAGGGGGTTGAAATTGGCCTCTCATCATCTTAATTGTCACCGCTCCCCTTGGACACCCTGGAAGAAAAGAGGCAGCATCGATACTATATGCAGTGTGCATATACTAGTGTCTTTCCTGTGTACATGTGGTATCCTCCACTCCTCAGCTCCATAAAATAGAAGCCCCTTGAGGGCAGGGACTTTGGGGGATTTGTCTAACACAGTACTTAGAACACAGGAGGCACCAAATAAATGCTTTTTAAGTGACTTGAATTGCTGAGCATTTCACATGCATTAGAATCCCATTAGAAGTTTTTTTCTACATCTAATTCATATTTCTTGTATTATTTTAGTAGCTTTTTCCCATCTTTTCTGGCAATGAAAAAGAATAGAACAAAAAAATCCACTATCCTCCCAATTATAGCATTCCCAATATTAGAATAGAATTCCACATCCTCGTCTCTAAATGATTCCAATTCCATTCATCTTCCTTCTCTCACAAGTCTCATTTTTCTAAAGCCAACACTGGTAGAAAGCTTTTTTTATTTTTCAAGTAAATGGGATTCCAGGCATTCTCCCAACAACACTGGCCAAAATCACATCAGAATGGCCAAATCACCAAGCTGCATGAGACCTCAGTGGTCGATACTTGGAAGGGACCTCAGTGACTGATACCTGAAAAATGATTCCATCTCCAAGAGACCCAACAAGTGATCAGTCAGCCTTTGCTTGGAGACCTCCAAGGAGGGGGAGTCCACTACCTCTAGAGACAGCCCATTACAGGCACAGCAGCCTCTGACGCAGATGATATGAAGGGAAGCACACTGTTATATGGGTCAGGTAGATGGCCTTCCAGACTGACTCAGTATGCACTAATGCAATAGGAAATAGTTTGTGCTGCAATTATTTTAAGGAATCTACAAGCCAAGTTGCCTAGGTTATCACCAGTAGACCACTAATGGGACAAACCTGAGATAGAAATCAAATTTAACAAGTACTAAACACTACACTTGGCAAACAAATGCTATCCTGGCATCTAACCAGCCACTTTTCTCCATTATCTCCAGCTTGAAATAAGCAGGAGGAACTGTAAATGATAAGTTTTACACATTAGTAGCTGTAGGGGTCCTCTCCTGGGCATACTGCTGCTGTCTCACTCATGTTTTTATTCTCCCTCGCTTTCCAATCATGTACTTCTTATCTAAGGATTTAAAAAAAGCCCACCAGACAAACAATGTATTCCTATTAAGAGTTTTAAAATGTCTAAGGGAAAAGGCAGTTTAGCTTTGAGATAAGTTCATTCACAATATTTTATTGTGCACTGTGCTTTCTCTGCAATCATTCCAGAAGGATTTTTCCCAATACATGTCTAATCCAAAGACACAGTTCCCAACATCTAGCATTGGCACTTTGATGCAGAATCATAGAATCTCAGAGTTGAGGGCCTTAGAAGATATCTAGTCCAGCCTAAACAACACTCCTCTAAACAACTTTCCTAGTGATGGGTTATCCAGCCTTCACTTCAGTGAGATGACGCTTTCTTAATCAATCAATCGATAAACATTAATTAAGCACCTACTATGTGCTAGGCACTGCACCAAGCATTGGGGGGTGCAAAAAGAGGCAAAAGATAGTCCCTAGCCTCAAGGAGCTTATAATCTAATGGGGGAGACAAAATGCATACAAATATATACAAAGCAAGCTACATATACGTTAAATAGGAAATAATCAACAGCACAGAATGCACTAGAGTTAAAAAGGGTCAAAATGTTCTTATCTAAGTTTTGTTATCTACTCCCTAGCCTTTCAAATGTGGATTCACACCCTTCCCAGCTCTAGACTTGCTCAGATCTCCACAGGATTTCAGACTCTGGTCTGGAGAGAGGACAATGGTCATGTCTGGGCTGGCTGTGGCGGCGGGGAGCAGAGCAGGTCCCCTCCAAGAGCACAGACAAAATCACACCCTTTGTTGGGCACGTTCTCCCTATGACAGCAGGGAGATGGAAGCAATAAGTGTCATTTCCCTAGGTTTCCTTAAATAGGATTATCTGGCCTTTATCTGCATCTGGACACAATCTACCTGCCCTTCCAGTTTTCCCCATATCCATTCCTTTTTCTTAAAGCATACACAAATGCACACACATACACACATGCTAGTTAGAAATGAAGAGGTGTGTGTTATACCAATCAAACTACCAAAGAGTTATTTTATAGAGTCAGAAAAAATAACAAAATTCATCTGGAAGAACAAAAAGTCAAGAATATCAAGGGAATCAATAAAAAAAATGTGAAAGAAGGCAGCCCAGCAGTACCAGATTTCAAACTATATTACAAAGCAGTGATCATGAAAACAATCTGGTACTAAGAAAGAGAGTGGTAGATCCATGCAATAGCTCAAGTGCACAAAACACACAAGTAAATGACCGTAGTCATCTAGTGTTTGATACCCCAAAATCCAAGCTTTGGGGGTAAGAATTCATCATTTGACAAAAATCACTGGGAAAATTAGAAAGCAGCTTGGCAGAAACTAAGTATAGACCAATATCTCACACTATATACCAAGAGAAGATCCAAATGGATAAATTTATTTAGACATAAAGGGTGACAGCCCAAGAAAATTAGGGGAGCATGTAAAATCCACCTGTCAGATCTCTGAATGAAGAGTTGATGGCCAAACAAGAGAAAAAGAGGATCACAGGAAGTAAAAGAGACAATTTTGTTCACATGAAATTAAGAAGCTTTTGCACAAACAAAACTAATGCAGGTAAAATTAAAAGGAAAACAGGAAACTGAGACATTTTTTCACTCTGATGAAGGCCTCATTTCTCAAATATATAGGGAGCTGAACCAAATTTATAAAAATAAAAGTCATTTTGCAATTGATAAATGGTCAAAGAATATGAACAGGGAGTGTTCAGAAGAAGAAATCAAAGCTATCAAGAGTCACATAAAAAATGGTCTAATTCAAAATTCAAATTAAAACAACTCTGAGATACCACTCTACACCTATCAGATTGGCTGACGTGAGAGAAAAAGAAAATAACAAACGCTGGAGGACGTGTGAGAAAATGGGGACACTAATGCACTGCTGGTAGAGTGGTGAACTAGCCCAACCATTCTGGAGAGCCATTTAGAACTACACCCAAAGGGCTGTAACACTGTGCATACCCTACTAGGTCTGTATCCCAAAAAGATCAAAGAAAAGGGAAAAGGACCTACAGGTACAAACATATTGATAGCAGATCTT